GTAGATAATATATCTTATCAAGATATTTTTGCTATATCAAAGTTTCATTTTATAGTACTGTAGTTTATAAAAAAAACAAACTTCTTAGCTACGTGGAATCTTCAGGCAAAGAGGGGCCTCACAGGGCAGGTCTTGGCTGACCTGATTCGACAAACAAAGGTTAGTTTGATTTTCAACTCTATATTTACGTCTTAGAAACGTTGATACCTGATTGGCTTGAAAGAACACACATGTGTGTAAATAATGTACTGGTAATGTGCAGTTCCTGTTGGTAGAGTTTTTCTCTTTAACTTTGAGTAGCCTATGTGTAATGGAGTTGATTGGCTACTAACTCCTCAGAGTAATTACTTGCCACCCATTACATTAGTTTGCCAGGTTTGCTAGTTGATTGTAATGAGGTATGCAAATACATACTGTATGCACATAATGTCAAAGAAATCTTTAGTGTATGTTCCACAGGTAGATTTGGAAAGAAATGGCAAGATCACTTCAAATGGAAAACACTGACTGTAGTGGCAGTGCAGACGACTAAAGTGAGGTGAATTTTTCAAGACGGTCTGCACCAGAAAAAATATAGTCTTGTCGTATGTTCGAATGCCTATGTTTTCCTGTCAAGCAAAACCCTGATGACTGACCTTTGTCAAAGACAGAGTAGAGTGTTGTTATCCCACCACTATATACACAATAAATATATAAATATACAGATGTCTATGGTGGTATTAAAGAGGTAGTTTAGCCATTTATTTAATGATGTGTATGATTGGCCTTGGTGCTGTATGTGCTTTTGTTTGTCTGGTTATGTTAGTTACTATATTATTATTCGGTGTAACATTCAAATTAACAATTTTTATCTGTGAGTCCACAACAATGCTTTCTGTGTACTCCATGGAGTGGTCATTTGTGTGCGTTCTTTTTGAGATATCAGCCGATCTTGAAAATACAACTGCTTAGAAAAGATAATAGGAGGGTGCAGCAGCTGATCCCAGCTCTGTCAAGACTAAGACTTCCTCTTAGTTTCACTTCAGTTTTCTCAGTGGTAAGACAATTTTCTGGTTTTAGTCAAGATGATGCTTTTCAAACCATTTGAAGATTTTTGGTGTCATTTTGCTGCCAGCCCTGTCTGTCTATACTAAGTTTGCCTTTGATAAATACAGTACAATAAAATCCATGTTAACATATAAATGGATCGATTCGATTAAAGAGCTTTTAATCTGAAACAGATACAGGAGGTGTCAAGTTTAAAAAAATAACTGTATATTTTTTTCCATGCCTGTGACATGTTCTACAGATACAGAAATTGAAACTGTAGTGAGAAGGTGTACATGTTGCTGGAATAATGTCGACACTTTTCACTGCTTTCTGCTGGGAACCGCTTGTGGAAAAAATAGGCATTGACTCTCTAGTGAAGTGTTGCTGTAGCTGTAGCTTGAACAAGGGCAGTGTGGCTGCTCTATTCTGTTAATATGGGCGCTGAAATAAAAAGCAAGACGTCCCGTAACGCACATGTGCTCAGACTAAACAAAAACATTACAATCGAACAAAGGAAAGTCTGGATAAGTTATTGAATTGTTGACAAGCTAGGCACCCATTAGAGTTTTTGAAATGTTAGCTCCAGCTTGCATTGTTCAGATGAAATATGAAAAAATAAAACTAATTTTGTTACCAACTTGTCACCCTGGTACAGATGCTGTTTTCATTATGATCACAATAAGATTAAAGAGAGTCTTACACAAAAAAAAACCACACAAAGAGAGTCTACACAAAAATAGTTTACAAGCCCAGTGCATGGTTTGCTGAGTCAGAAAATATGTTGGAACAAAACTTGAGTAATCAGCCTTCTCTTTCCATGTTAAAACTGCATGTTCAGCCTTTTTTGTGTTTTGTGAAATCTTTTCTTCCTCATCTGAACATGCGGTTCATGTTGTGAAATTGGCAAAAAACAAACGAAACAGATCTCAAACAGTGGTCACATGCCCTCATAATCTCAGAGGTGGCAGAGATGGTTTATTCTAACCAGAAGCACAAACTGAATTCACTAATGAGTTCATCTTGTCTGCTTATACAAGAGTATTATTGCCCTGCATAAGTAAATAAAAATGAAAGGAGGGAGATCTTACATTTTGAGATTAATGGTGAAATACAATTCCAAGAATAAAGTCGACATTCTGGAGTTTCTAGTTTCTAGAGCAGCAACTGTAACATCAGAAAAGTTACTATACAAACTCAATAATATCTCACTGGAAACAAATCTAAAATTAAATCAAATGAATCCTATTCCTACGAAAGCCGAGAACGGCCATGGATTTTTTTTTATCTCATGATAACGACTTATTAATTCGTTATCTCGAGATAACAAAGTTTGTTTTCTTAATTAATTCATTATCACGAGATAACGAGCTTTGTTATGTCGAGATAATGAAATAATTAATTATTTATCTTGAGAAAACAAAGTTTGTTATCTGGAATAACAAACTTGGTACAAGGGTTGCCACGACGGCTTCGTAACCCACTGGTGTAGTGTTAGGCTGCCGTAAATTACCACTTTACCGTTGGTTGTTTTATTTGTCTGGAGCCGTTGGCAGCTCTTGTAGGTTGTGCAAATCAAGAAAGTTATTAATTATTATTAATTATTTTTACTTTTATTTTGTTTCATTTTGTTGTTCATTCCTTTTGGTTATCAGGAGAAAACGATCTTGTTATATCGAGATAACGAGATAATAAATCAGTATCAGCAAAGGCACCACCAGAGGGGGGGCTTGATTGGCCACTCCAAGTGCCACCCCATTATCTTTACCTCTTCCACTTCAGAGGATGTAGCAGGCTGTGTTTTAAAGCTAGAGTGAAAATACAGGTAACCATGTCATATTAAGGGGGCTAAGTAATGCTCCAAAGTTAGGCTAAATTTTGTCAATGGAAAAACTGGCATTGCCATTTTCAAAAGGATCCTTTGACCTCTGACCTCAAAATAGGTGGATAAAAATGGGTTACCTATAAAGCCTCCCCATTGTACACATGCCCAGTTTATGCTAATCCCAAAGAAGTTTTTGGGTAACAACCATGCAGTTTTTTGCATGTGGGATAAATGTGTTATTTTCACCTAGTGTATTTAAATATTTTTGCATACGGGGTCCCTAGATAACACATGTTTCAGGCCATCCCTGCATAAGTCAGAGGCCTTCTTGTGCTTCCCCTGTCAAAAAAGTCTGTAAACACCCCTGAGTATCAGTCCTTCCTCCTTTCCTCTCAGATTCATGGCAAACTAGCATAAATACTTCATAAAAACTACATACAGATATCTTTATTTAGTATATTATTCTCAAAATGCAAAAAAAAAAATCTTTTTCTCTGACTAACTCGCTAGCAACTAGTAAGAGGGGAGTCTCTTGCTCCGCCTACTGACCAACCCTCAATTTCTTTCCCACTGGCCACAGGTGAAAAGAACACCACACAAGGATTTAAAGTGAGTGTTGCATGTATTGGAGCATATCTACACTGCTTTTGCAGGTTGAAGTGACAGGAAATCAGTAGGTTAGTTTTTACTCTCCGAGATTGCTCAAAACATCATTCCTGCATATTTCAAGACTCTACAGACAGAGGTAAGGTTTACTTGCTTTATATCTTACATTCATGGTATTTAAATCTGGCATTATTATCCAGTGGTACAAAGCTTAAAAGCAATCAGCATCCGAGAAGTAGACGTTTCAGCACCTTGACACAGATGTTTCAGTCCTAGTAATTGGTGACACAAGGTCTAAAGATTTATTCTTTATGTGAAGATAGGAGAACTTACTGGAGGACACTTAGAAGAGTAGCATGAATGAAAGTGAAATGTTCTACATTTTCTATAGCAACATTACTGAAAAAACTATTTCAGAAGCTAATGCTACTGTTTTCTACTGGCAAGACTACAGCTCATGAAGCAGATGCAAAGATGGCTGTCGAGTACCATGCCTCTACAGTGACAAACATGGACATCGAAAACACTAAAATTGGATATAAGCAACTCTTTACAGATGGCAGCAAGCTCCGGTATTCAGGTATAAAGCTTAATTCCAAAAAGGGTTCGGTGATGTGATACCATGAGAGTATAAAAAAGGTGAACTGCCAGTTCCCCTTAGCTCTACAGAGCTTTTTGTTTTTCAGCTCACTGATTTGTTTTCATAGCCCACAGCTTTTTAGTTCAGTCTCTCTCCTCTCATCAACAGAAATCAGAAATTCTTAAGGTTACTGCTGACAACACTATGGATTTTATCCCCCGCTTATTGAAAAATTGAGAAAAATAACTTTTATTGAATCAATTTATTGAAAAGTGAAATAATAAAAAAAAATTTCACACCTGGAGGTAGAATAAGAAAATAAGAAACTGTCAGCAGCAACATTAGCATCCATTTTGAGTCATGTTTGTAGAAACAGTCAGCAGCAGCAGGTCATATATATATATATACTGTATATATAATATATTGTATAGAAGGGTTATCCAAAAACACTATTCCTGTCTAATGATCTTATATATAGACTTTGTCTCAGTTTAACTTCAATATATTTTATATTTTATTTATATAAATTATATATTATTATTATTACTAATATAAGATTGTATCCGTATTACACAACCCAGGTTAAAAATGATACAGCTGCCATTATAATAATTTTGATAGGTCCACTGCATCGTTTTATGTGATATATATTGGTATATGACCTATGATTAATGTTTGCAACACACTATTGTAATGCAGATAAAGCACATATAACATAACCACAACTTCCTTAAAACACTAAATTTTGAATTCCTGTTTTGCTTCCAGTTTATGCATTGAGAAACAGCCCTTTCCGGGTTGCTACACTCTGCCTTGGTCTGCTGTGTGTCATCCTGTTGGCTGGGGTCATAGGTCAGAGTGTCCACTGTGAGTCTACCTCTTTGTTTTCTCTGTCAAAAATCCACATGTTTCCACATGAAAGTTGCCTGTCAAGGTGAAAATCACTAATTTACTGATACCTCTCATCTCTGGCAGACCAAAAAGCAGAGCAAGACCATGAGAGCAACCTAAAAGCCTTGAGTGAAGAGAAAGAGAAACTACAGGTGGACCTGAAGACAGTGCAAAAGGACAAAAGGGATCTTCAGGCCAAAAGTAATCAGTTACAGCAGAATAATGATTACTTAAATAAAAGGAAAGAACAGATACAGATCAATAACAATTTACTGACTGAGCAAACAAACCAACTTAAAAATAGTCAAAGCGAGTTAAAGGCCAGTAACGATGCTTTGAAGAAAGCGAAAGAAGAGCTAGAAGCAAGCAAAGACCAATTGCAGATAAGCAACAATGCCTTGTCTACAGCCAAAGACCTGTTACAAAAAAATTATGATTTAGTGGTCCAACGCAAAAGTGAGTTACAGACCAGATATGACTCAGTGACCAGAGACAGAGACAATTTACAGAACAAATACAATAATGTAACCAGATCCAAAGAGCAGCTGCAAAAGGATTACAATGTCCTGATCAAAGATGTAGAGCATTTGCAGGACAGATACAACTTTTCTTCCCAAGAGAAAGACAAGCTAGAAAGCAGTCACCAAAACCTGACGATAGCAAAAGACACTCTACAGGCCAATTTCAATGTACTTGTTAAGGCAACAGATGAGTTGCGGGCATCTTACATGTCCTTGATTCAGGAAAAAAAAGAGCTAGAAAAGAGTTGCAAAAACGTAACTGTGGAGAGAGACTGGCTGAAGACAAACAATGACAACCTGACTGCTGAGAGAGACCAGCTTCAGATGGAAGTGGAGAGACTGAACGCAACGATTCAAGGTAAGCAGGATTTCGAAAAAAATAACAAAAAGGACACGTGAAGCATATTTCATATTGCAAAATGGCTTCTCAGCTGGGATAGTGCATGCGGCCTTCTTGTTAAAATTATGCATGGTAAAGCTAGGGCCACTGTGCAAGAAACAAAACCTTTTTTTTTATTAACCACAGAAAAAACACCCAACATCACTCTAAACATGTTTTCCACCTTAATGCTTGTAAACACTTTTGTCTCAATGTTTTTGTTATCGATCAATATGTATATTGCATTTTCAGATAAGAAATGCCCCTCTGGTTGGAAGAAATTCGAGTACAGCTGCTACTACACTTCTGATATCAAGAAGAACTGGAATCGGAGCAGAGAATTATGTCAGGCCAAAGGAGCAGACCTGGCAATCATAACAAGCAAAGAAGAAATGGTTTGTGTTTCTGTATGCACTTGTCTATATCTGCATGACTGTACCTGCAAGTGTCCTCATTCATTTTCATGAAAGTGCAACAAATCAGCTTCTTGAGGGAGTTTTAGTTTATTAAAGCTGCACTAATGAATATTTTCACGCTAACAATGTAACAATGTTTGAGTAACGTGGAAGATTCAAAAGTTGAATGCCACAAAGCTTTTTAACCACAACCAGCAAGTTTTGTTTCAGTTCTCCTTAACCAAAAGGAAGTTTGGGCTGGCACAGTGCTTTCTATGCTGAAAATATGGAGCCCTCTACTGGAAATAAATAAAAGAACAATATAGGAAAAATAATAAACAAAGGAGGCAAAGCTAAACTATAGCTACCTTTAAAAATACAACAAACACAATGGAAAGACTTAAAGGCCTAAAATTAGTTTTTGGCCAATGTTTGTAACAATGTTACGAAATTGCAACAAAAAGTAATTTGTGTTAAAGGCCTGTGCTTGTTTTACAGATTTTGGTAGTTAATTAAAAATCATGTATTCATGGTTATTATATTGTCATTGACAATGCAGGATTGTATAATGAAATTGTGATATTAATGTCCAATGTTCACCCCCGTTTTTGGTCTCCACCAACTCCTGAGGCAATATCTTTCTCTTTAGCTGCATAATGTTCTACTATATTCACCAGACAGTTGCTAACTTCATTCATAGCATCATTTCATCCATTTTTAGTATACAATATTGATTAGTGCAACTTTAAGCTATTTATGTAAAATAAACCTCTGCAAAAACTTCCTCTCTCATAGACCTTCATCAATGCCTTGTATGGAAGTGAGAAAGAAGTCTGGATTGGATTATCTGATGGAGGAGTGGAAGGGCAATGGCTATGGGTAGATGGGACACCAATGACCAAACCGTAAGAAACTAAACACACTTCATTTTCAAACTAAAAACTCAAAATGTCTATTCTCAATTTGGATGGCTGTCCTTGTCTTTCAGGTTCTGGGGTAAAGACCAGCCCAACAGCCATTTGGGGAGGAACCAGGACTGTGTGGAGTTCTGGCACCGTGCATCAGGGACTGGTGACTGGAATGATGAGAACTGTGCCATAGAACAAAACTGGATCTGTGAGAAGTAGTTTTCCTAGAGAGCTCTGGATATCCATCTTATGTGAGCACTTTACACACAATGGCACACAGCATTGCTAACAGCTAAAACCTGAAATGTATTGTTGTGATAAGTAATGCATTATGAAATCAACTTTAGCAGATAGCCCATTATGTGCTGGGGCAGGTACATTAATATAGGTTGCGTGGAGCAAACTCTGTAGTATGGAACCAGTTTGGCTCAAAGAGGACCAAGCTTTCCATAGCTATCTGTACATACTGTAGAAACAATTAAGATTTTTCTAAAGAAAGACACTTCATGATTATGTTAATTCATTTGCTAGTGGGATTAATTAATTAAGCATTTCCCAAGAGTTGTACCTATTAAATAGTTCCTGCTGAGCTAGTGATAGAGCATCTGGGTTAAGGTTGAACTGGCTAACATTAATATACGTATTATGCATTATTCATTATGTATTAACAACCATTCAATCAGTGCTTTAACTATTTAAATTGACAAATTAAATGTTATTTTATGTTCTCATATACACCTTTTATGTATTCATTCATGAAAACACACAAATTAAAATAAAAGAATTCACCTTGTACTACTAGTGTAATGAATCACACTCACAGAGTTTGTCAATGTGCTCAAGTCATTTTGACACTACACCTAAAGCTAGAGATAGTAGAATTATTGCCCCAAGGGTATCGATAATGACCTGTGTTGTCTCTAGGAACAATGTCATCTGCCAAAACCCTTGTGGTATTTGTATTGCAATTTGTAATGCATTTGAATGTTACAAGAAGGTGATGGGGTGAATGGTAAGTGTACTAAGTCACTTCTGACTTTTTCTGTGTTAAAACACATCACAATATTTCCCTTAATAACCATGAAAAAATAGAATAACCCTTTACTCACCGTAAATGCCTGTTTTGGTAGAATACCTTGTCAGTAAACATTTTAATGACATTCAATATCCACATTTTGGCAGCTTGCCAGGTACGTTAATTAACAGCATATGTTTTGTGTTAGGTTTGATGTTTGTTTTTTGTAACTATAGATTTTTGAATAGAGAGAAAAACTAAACAAATATTCTTTTCTGAGAGTATTATAAGTCACAATCTTAGTGGTCATGATAAGCGTAAACAAGATAAAGAAACTTAACAACAGACATTGGTCAATAATAAAATGTATAAAAATAATAATAATAACAATAATAAAGCCTCCATTCAAACAATAACTCCAGGCTTAATGGGGCTTGTACAGTCCAATGGGAAACCCAGCTGTCCCACTTGACCTCTTATTATTGCCCGGAATGCTTCAGTACTTCAGATGAAGTCCTCTTCCATTAGATGCTTAATAGCTTACATGCATTTGTTTACCACTTCTTCACACAGACCTCAGTCTACCTTTACTCTGGTGAAATTAATGAATCCTGTTTAGCCGTGCATAATCTAAAAAAATCTCACTTTTTCTGACCTCAAGTGGTTTAACTTTGCTGTACTTATCAATAATCTTTCTTACTGAAGGCCCTGAAAACATATTTTCTTAATCAGCATCTTACTGGGACCAATGGGCACAGATGTGTTATTAAGCTGGAGATCTCTTTATTTCTGTTTCTCTTAGTTAAAAGTTGATTCATCTGTGCACCAACCAGAATTCATCTAAGTTTGATCCAAAATGATGACAGTTGTTGATTGACAAATGTTGGCTGCACTGTCAGTTAAATCTGATCACACCATTAGTATTTACCACTCAGGAACTCCTGGTGGCATTCAGAACATTCATACCCTTTAGTAACAGTGTTTTGGTGACAAACCTGGTAGCTGCACCTGCATGCAATGATATTTCGCCAAGCAAATATATTTTTTATCTGGTTTGGATATGAGGCCAATTTGTTATTGCACAATTCTGGATATTCAGAAACACACATTCACACTTACAATACAAGCTTTTTTGTTTTTTTGGCCATCTTGTCATTCAAGCAGTGGTCACCAGCAACTGCAAAGACAAAGGCCCATGATAATGTGAATACCGCTGTAGGGTAAAGTCATGTGACAGCTAGAGGCACTAGGCACAGTGGGATGGACCTCTAACTGTTCCTTACTGTCCTCAGAGGTTAATGATGAACTTCCATGGGCAGAGATCAGAGGAATACTGTTTGTTGTCTGATGCTGTCATTTGACTGCCTCAACATGAAATACTTGTTTTGATCCCACACTGAAACTGCTGTGATTACACCTTTAACATTTAATCTGTGTTAGAACCCTCATACTACTACTGCCTTCCTTGCCCATACTGTTACTTGTGTACTTTGTTTTGTGGTATACAATTTTATATATGGAGCAAAGGTTCTTCATGCACTGTATTTTGAACCCATGAAAGATAAGCATTTACAGCTTTAATAAAACAGTTTAATGTATAATGTGGACTCAACATTCGGACTGGCAGTCCCATAGCCAGAAATCCTACTCATTCCTCTCCACAACGCCTTTGCATTTGCAGAAGAGTGTGTTCTCGTTTCTCTTTCAGTGCTGTAGGTGTTCCTCCCATTATCTTGCCTTTTGGAAAGACTCAAATGTTTCACCTAATGTGCACAGTAGTACACTAATTTACAATGAACACTCGCCCACACAAACCAAATGTTGATCTTACATATTTCAAATCATCAATCATTATCTATTAACTGCGGTATGATAAATGTGATTATCAACACATTCAACTGAAGATGTTTAACAAGCAACGAGTAATGGAGTTATACCCCTAATGTTTAGTCTCAAATAGATGTTCCTAAAAGATTTTTAGTTTACCTTTTAGTACTTGAAGGAGTACAGATATTTATTAATGATGAGTCCGTAGTCCATAGATTGCTGATACTAGATATGTTTGAGAAATATTAATCTATTAATGGGCCTCTCCACTGTTCTAACACATACAGATACATTTATTTTTGGCATAAAACTAAAACTAAAACTGTTTAAGAGAAAGCCAATCAGTAGTGGTGTGGGGTTTGAAAGAAGTGGGTATTTTGGAGGCAGGCTATTGATAAAGACAGTTATGTTGCACTTTTTGGAAGTGCAATACTAAATCACAGCTAGTAGAAATACCGACTACCATTAGCTAAATTGATTTTTAACTAAGACAAATTCTCACAATTTTAAATGGATCTGTTTGTTAGTCTAATTTCTTGTTAGCTATCATTCCTTCTCTTTTTTACATCCTACATGTGTGTTTGGCTCCCTGTCTGCTCCCTGACTCTATTTCTGGCAATTATTCTGGCAATTATTCTGAGGCTAAGAGGCAAGCTGCAGGTGCCAGTGTTAAGCAGGGAAATTATTCTATTTTTAACCTGCTTGTCTATGTCAATTTAATGACACAAACTGGTAGAAATATGGTCACTGACCGTAGAAAATACATTGTGACTAGCCCCTAAAGTCCCAAAAGGTAAAACATTTTTATCTTATGGGCACAAGTTACTTATTTTGTGGGCACAAGTTACTTATTTTGTGGGCACAAGTTATTATCTTATGGCTTTATAGGCATATGTTTGCTGATTTCTTCACTATGTTTAAAACATTGCTATGTTCATTGCTTTATTTAAGCAGTCA